CCATTTATTTTAATTACTTATTTTTATTTTTGTATAACTTAGGCAATTTCCCGGACACTTTACTCTCTTAAATGAGATAACAATATTTTGTCGATATCGCTAACAACTTAAAAATATTCGCCGCTTAGTTAGCGATTTGTCGAGTAGTTTACGACAATAGCGCCAGCGAATATCGTTAAAATAAGTACACCGAATACAGTGGACCCCCGATAATCCGGCCCCTGTCTAATCCGGCGCCCCTTGTAATCCGACATGACAGAATTATGTTTGACAATCTTTGCTAATACATATAGATCACGCAAGTTTGAACAGGTCACAACTCGAACGCGCCACCGCTATCGTGCTCGACGCGTATGCATTGTTTTACTTAGTTTGAATTTGACTACTAGTGATAGCGGTACGGCCTAGCGTACGTTCATTGTTTACTATTTATTCATTGTGTATTAGGTATATGTAGTACCTAGTAATGTCGTCACAAACCCAGAAGCGAAAGCACAAAACGTTGACAATTAAAGAAAAATGTGATATTTTAGATCGCTTAAATCGCAATGAAACTTTCAGTAGTTTAGCAAGTGAATACGGCGTAGGCCGATCTACAATTTATGACATTAAAAAAAACCACGAGAAGATTAAGAAGTTCGTGTCAACTACTGACTGCGGGCCAGGCAAGAGACAGACACTCAAGAAAGGTGAACATCCAGAAGTGGAAGAAGCTTTGTACATGTGGTTTCTTCAGGAAAGAAACAGGNTATAGTATTCACTACATGATTTTGATTAATAATTCTTGATTATTTTGGTAGATATGTATGTGCATTTATGCTTAATTTTATAATAAAACGTAAACTCTCAATTGTTATTTAATTTACTAAATTCGACTTACATAAATTAAGTCTGATTTGTACTTCAAAGTACATACATATGTACGTATAATATATAGACTCTCGTCATTAGATATGTAATTTGTCGGATTACAAGGTACTCTTTCGTAAAAAAATCCGGACTATAGGGGTCTTAGGCAGTGCTCTATAATCCGACAAATTCGATGGTCCGACACTGCCCTGCATAATGTTTGCCGGATTATCGGGGGTCCACTGTATTGAAATCGTTAGAATTATCGCTAAGGCTGCAACTAACCAACGCGCGTACCAGCCGTCCATAGTAACCTATCTTATGAGAGCGCCATGTAAACACAAAGTTGTCACCGCTTGCCCATACCGTTAGTGACGGTTGTTCCGCAGAAACCAACGAAGTTTTGATTTTTTCCGTAAAACCGGCCCGGCTAATTTTTCGTTGCTGTACAAGGTTGCCAGTAAAGCCTTTCTCAAAGTAACATTAAATAATCGCAGGTAATGCGTAGTTTTGTTCAAAAGAAATGAAAAATAAATGCATAACTAATTATTTGTTACCATATAGATTATGTATATTTGCCTTGTGTTTATGTTCAAGCAAATAAATTATGAAATTTGTTGACGAAAATTATGAATTTGTTCAAAAGTGTGCAAACACACAGGCAGCTGGCAACATTTCTCCGCTCTCAGCGGCGTCGATAACTCGTATGTTATCTCGCCTTTTCGTCGCCACTTATGGACAGTTGGTAAGTGAAATGGGTAGTTGCAGCCTAAGTCTTCTTTGCGATCCGAAAAACGTTATACTATTATATTCTTAGAGAATAGTGAATATCGTTAAAATTTCGCTAAGTCTTCTTTGCGATCCGAAAATCTTTATAACATGTTAGAGAATAGCGAATATCGTTAAAAATATCGCTAAGTCGAAAATCGTTATAATGTATGTAGAGAATAGCGAAATCGGTAAAATTATCGTTTAGTCATTATAACGATCCGGAAATCGTTATAATACCATAGAGAATTCCCCTACTGCTCGCTAACTCTTACTAAATTTTAATAAGTGAAAACTCAATAAATATCTTTATTTGGGAGAATAAAATATTTTATTAATAAAAGGAGGATTTGCAGTTGATAACGCAACATTAACTCGATTCTTTACCTTCCATTTTATCCTACCATTTATTGTATTAGCAATAACTTTAATTCATTTATTATTTTATTCTCTCAATTTCTTTACTGGCTAATTTTTACGGACGAGGCTTTTGTCTTCAGCAGCACTTGATATTTTAAGCAAACAACCAGGAATTTCGACATGAAACTTCATAGGAATGATGAGAGGATAAATTTTTTCTAATATTTAAACTTTTGGAATTCAAATATATAATAGTTTGTAAGTTATTTGTTGTTAAAAATTGTTCACTTTATCCCATCATTTCTTTATGATTTCATTTTCGTTTAACAAACACAAATATTATACTTCGCTTCAATCAAATATTTTCACTTATTTTGTTTAAATTAACGCGCAATGTAACTTAAATAAACATTGACAAATCAAAACAAATGCTCACCTAAACATGGCTGCACACTAATCTGGAAAGATGTTGCCGTACACGGTAAAATATTATATAAATTCAACAATATTCAACAAAAATATGGAAGGTATTGCTGTACCATGCAAAATAATATATAAATTAAACAGTATTTTTCATAAAGGTATTAAATTAATTAAATTAAAAATTCTGTGCAAGGCGAAGCTGGTGTTGTTCCCGCCCAGGGTTACAATCTAAAACGCGGCGGAAGACCCCCAACTTACAAAGGAGTTTCGCTTGACTCAGAATTTTTATGTGAATAAAATTTTAATTTTTTAACACAACTTTCATTTTATTTTTCTGCATATTTATTCTTAATTTTTTTAATGAGTGGCTACGCCCGCATAGTCAAAAATACTGTTGCGAAAATGCGAGGCGAATGTCAGATGAAAGAGAGAAGCCGATAACTAGTACGTTCTAGAAACGATAAAACAAGAACCTTCCATAGCGAACAATTCGATGCTTCTACGCTTTCGTCTGCGAGCAGCCGACTGCTATATAAAGGCGACACTCAGCTGCAAGT